CACGGCACTGACCTCTGTCTTTTCCTTTCCCTGCAGGCTGTGCGAGGGCTTGGGAGCTGTGAATGTCTGTAAGTAGCCCTCCCCGCCCCCTTCTCCAGCTGGGTGGTCCCAGTGCCTTTGGGGAGGTGGCATTTTCCCTGCACCCAAGCCGCCTGGCTGTGGCAGCGCCTGATCCGCGTCTTTGCCTGTTCTCTCCCTCCCATCAGGCGTCAGCAGCTCCCGCGGTGGCGTCGTCTGTGGCGATCTATGCGCCTCTGGTGCTGCCCCTGCTGTCACCACCAGCGTCTGCAGCGCCCCCTGCAGCGGCAACGTGGTAGTGGGCACCGCCAATGCCTGCAGCCCCTGCGCCGGGGTGGGTGGCAGCAGCGTGAGCTGTAAGAAGTGCTAGGGTCACCCTCCGCCCAGCCAGGACTTTGCGCAACCGGAACGCCTTCCCCGCTGCCCTCTGCACCGCCAGCGGCCGGCATCCTGAGAACCAGTCCCCAGACCTGCTCCCTTGGTGTGCCATCCCCCAGGAACCTGGGTCCTGTGGAGGCTGGGGTGCATCTTGGCCTCTTTCTGTAGCCTTTCCTAGTAGTCGTTTTATTGTTCCGAGGGTTCATCCTTTCTTCTACTTTCTGATTTTTGCTGGATTCATTGGTCTTGTGTGACCCCTTCACCTAAGCTTGGAGGAAGAGGACAGGCCCCAGAACCTCCCCATGCCCACATCCTCGGAATCTGCCAGTGTGCTTGTACCTGTGGAATGGAGATGGAGAACAGTGTTGGAGGTTTTCCTGTAACTCTGTGAGGGACGTGACTGGTGGGAAGGGATGAACATCACATCCCAGGGATGCCTGCAGAAGCTCTAAAAAGCCAATGACTCCACTGCCTGCATGTTTCTTTACCTTCGTTTCACTCTTTGCTTCCAATAAACTAATTATAGCTGATTAAACCTGGTGCCTGATTCCTGGAAATACCAGGGCCTTCCTGTGACAGGTGCTCCCTGCGAGAGATTTCCTCAGGCCCTCTCTGTTTACTTAGTTATTTTTCAGTAGGTGGAAATGACTGCAGTAGACGCTCTCCAACTGGCCTTGAGCAACCCGAGCCTTGGGAAAACAAGAGAAGACCCGCGGAGGCAGGGAATCCCTCCCTGTCTGCGTGGTCATGGATTTCTCTAGACCAGGGTTTCTCAAGCTCAATACTATTGGCATTTTGAGCTGGAGACTTCTTTGTTGGGGGCCTGTCCTGTGCATTGAAGGATCTTTAGCAGTATCACTGGCGTGCAGCCATTAATGCCACCAGGACGCCTCAACCCCAATGGTGACACCTAAAGATGTCTCTAAACTTGGCCAGATGTGCCCTAGGGCTCTTCAACCAGAATGATCCTCTCCTCCCCTGCCCCAACCCCTGCAAGGGCATTCCTGGAGAGGGAAAGTACATAAGGAAGTGGGTGAGGGTGAGAATGGAGGGAAGGCATGTGAGACAACAGTGTGAGGGAGAGGAAGAGCGCTGGGTTGAGGGTCAGGAGAATCAGCCATCTAATTCAGAGTCCTGACTCTACCATTTCCTAAATGTGTGACTTTGGGCAAATTGCTTTCACCCTCCGAGCTTCAGTTTCTTTGGCTATAGGATGAGGGATGTTGGACACTATTCCTAAAGTTCCCTCTGGCTCCCTAAGTAAGAATATGTATTTAAAGGGGTTTGGCTAATACAAACCTACGTTTAAAGGCTGGTTCAGCTATGTACTAGTTCTGTAATTGTGGGCAAGTCACTGGTCCTCACTGACTTTTAGTGTCTGCATCTGTAAAATGGAATGATGATACTTACTGTGCTGTAGGGAGCTGTTTCAGGTATCTATTGCACCAAACAAATCACTCCAAAATTTAGAGGCTTAAAGCAATAATGCTTTATTGTTTCTCATGATTTGATGGGCTTACTGAACAGTTCTTCTACTTCACGTGATGCTGTTTGGGATGGTAGGATGTCTAGATGGTCCAAAATGGCCTCATGTCACATGGCTGGGTTTGGTGCTGGCCACCAGCTAGGAGTTCGGCTGGAGCTATTGGCCAAGATCTGTCAATCAGGGTCTAATCAGGAGATAATAATTTGAACAGATGAAGTTTAATATAGAGAATTATTAACTAGAACAGGGAATTGAGTAATAGGAGATTGGCTGGTAAGAAGCAAGAAATCCAGAGTAAAGGAGCTGCATATACAAGGAGCAGCCCCTGCCCCTAGGCCTGAGAGAGTGTACCCAAGGAAGTTGACCCCCTGCAGCTGAGATCTGGACCTCAGATCCAGGGAAAGGTAGGAAAACCTGCTCATGAAGATGTGTCTCCACCTCAAAACCACCCAAGAAGTGTACTGGAAGCTGCCGGCCCTGGGATACTGCTGGCCCCCGTGCGCAGCAGCAGTGAAGCTATCACACTGCAGGAGCAGTTCTGGAGAAGCTGTGGTGCCGCAGGAATCTGCCAGGAGGAACGCACTGGAACCAGGGGGAAAAAAACCCCTTCCTCCTGCAATATCTTTCCAGCATCCTCGCTGACAAAGCTCAACATCGTAACAGCAGACAAAGGAAAATATTCAAAGGGCCCCTCTACATTTTCACAGACTGGGTAATGACAGGTGACTCTGGAGCTGAGAGACAACCAGTTGATAACTGGCATTCAGGGACTTGGTTGTCCTCCTTATGAGCCTATCTCATGTGGTTCCTTGGGCTTCCTCACAGCCTCGTGGCTGTGTTCCAAGAAGGAAGGTAGGAAATAGAAACTGCCAGTCCTCCTATAGGCTTGAGCTCAGAAGTTTACTTCCCCCATATTCTTTTGGCCAAAGAAGTCACAGGGCAACTCAGATTCAAGGGGAGGGGAAGGAGGCTCCACCTCGTGATGGCTGATGTGTACAGAGAGGGAAGGAATTGTTGGGGCCTCTTGTGGAGACTAGGTCCCACAGTGCCTTCTCTGGTCACAACAATTTATGTCCCTCCCACAAACAATATATGCTTCCCCTTCCAAGATCCCCCCAGATTTCACCCCATTGTGATGTCAGCTTGAAGTTGAGGACCTCATTCTTTGGATCAGATCCAGGTACACATAATGTTCTTGGGATGTGGTCCTTTTTGCTGCAGCTCCTCCATTGTGGCCTACCTCACTCTGAAGACCTGTGAATTAAAAAAAGGCAAATTTTATGTCCACCACACCCATTATGCAATGGTGAGATGGAATAGGATAGCCACAATCAGCATGCCCATTTAGAAAGTAGAAAAATGAAAAACATTTAGAAGTCCCTGGTTCATAGCAATTCTAAGTATAGTCAGGCATGCGTTGCTAATTCCTCCTGCCTCCCACAAGAGGCAGGGAGTGTATTTGATTAGTGCCTAGTTTTGCTCCCTGGAAGTGGTCCTCTCTGCTCTTGGCACTATCCATTGGAATCTTGGCTCCACCTTCTGTATCATCCTTTCTTTCCCATGATAAATGGCTCCATGTTTCCTTAGCCTGCTTCCAGTCTGTGGGAGGTAAGGAGACCAGAGGCCTGTTTTCATTTTGAACTGTCTCTGTTTCTTTTGGTTAGAACCGCTATAATTCTTCTAAAAACTTCATAAATTTCTGATGTATTAAGTTAGAGTGGACTTCATGAGGCAAAGGCTGTACCCACAGACTTCTGAGATCGGTTCCTCTCAACCTTGGGGTGAGTGTCAGGATGCTTTGGGACAACACCAGAGAGTCTTAGAAGGCCTGTGGCTTAGCTGAGAGGGTCTGTGAAGCTGTGTTTAAGATTCTCAATAGTCTTTTTGGTCAGCTGAGGGAGTCTGTGAGCTCTGAATTAAGTCTCTCTGAGATCTCAGCAAAGGATCCAACAGCTAGTAGTCACCTGAATTTTCACCCAGGGCGTGGTTTACTAGCAGTGCTTTGAATTTGACCTTTGTCCTGAGGCTGTTTTTTACTTTGGGAACACTTTGGTACTGGAAAGACTGTCCCAGGCGCTCCATAATTCTGAATTGTGCAGCACGTGAACAGCAGAGGCCCCTGGCCATCATCCCCAACTGAACCTTCAATCAGTGGCCAACACCAGATGTCAACCTTATGAGTGAAGGCATTTTGGATGTCCCAGAGCCCAGCTGACAACATGAAGCAGAAGAATCACCCAGTCAATTGACACAATTATGCAAAATATTATTGTTTTTAAGCCACTAAAGTTTGGGGATTTTCCCTTCATGTTGTATAGGAATAGATAAGTGGAGACATTGGTACCTGGCAGTGGGGCGCTACTGTAACAAAACCTAAAACCTGTGATATTGGTTTTGGGACCAGGCATCAGACAGAGTCTGAATGTCCTCAAGGTGACCATTAATGAAGGCTGAACGGACAGTGAGGGAATTATTATCATTAGGGAAAAGTGACCCAAATTATGCAGCGATGAAATGTTTTGCAAGACTATTGCCCATGATAACATGGAAGATGAAAAGGGCATTGAATGGATTTCCTTTCCCTGGTTAATCACCCTCCTGCTGTGCCTCTCCTTCCTTCCAGTGCCAAGGCCCAGGCCTCTTTGTGGCCACACCTCTCCTTGATCGGGAGGTAGTGGTGATGGCAGAGGAGTTGGGGCTCAGGGACTTGGGACAGGAGGCTGTAACAGAAGATGACTGTGCAGCGTCAGTCCCGCCTGGCCCCTTGAGCTGGTAGGTGGAAGCCAGGTGCATCACCTCTAGAGATATGGAGCCTTGCTGGGCTCCCCCAGGTGGCACCTGGATGACCTACCAAGGCTGGCAGTCCTTACCGAACCCTCCTTAAGTCCCTGGGAAGGGGGGTTACAATCCTTGAGCAGAGCTCAGAGTCACGTACCCAGAAAGAACTGAAAAGGTCCTTGCAGAGACTCTGATCCAGCCCTCATTTGAGGGGTCCCAGAGCGAGGGAGGAAGGAAGTGGGCAGTGGAGAGTGATGAGAAACACTGAGAGATGAGGCACAAGCAGAGATGTAGAACTGGCATGCTATGTTCAAGAGTCTGGACTCCATCCATTGAAATATCAGATCTGTGCTTTGTAAAGATCTGTCTGTCTGCTGTGGAGCATGGATTGGAGGGGGAGAGAAGCAGGACTCCAACCAAGGTGGTGGTGGCCGGAATGTGGGTGTAGCAACAAAGAAGGAGGAAAGAGTTGGATTAGAGGCGTACTTAGGAGGCAGAAAAGGAAAGCACTTGGGGGTTAAGGGGTTTTGAGGACTAGGGTGCAGGTGTGGATAGATCATATAGATTCGGGTTTGGGCGACTGTAGTTGATATTGATGGGTGTTGGGGTGGGGCAGGAGAAGACTCCAGGGGAGAGAGTGAGAAATAATGAGTTCAGCCTGGAGGTCTGTTGGGTTGGAAGGGTCTCCAGAACTGCCAAGTGGAGAAGTCTTATAGGAACTGGGGCAAATGAGTCTGAATGTGAGGAGTGAGGTCAGGGCAGCAGGAGAGCCAACAGGACTCAAAACCCAGTTGGAGGAATTGAACCAGGGAGGATGCTAACCGTGGTGGTAACTTAAAGCAAAAGGATGGTGTGATAGCCCAGGGAGTGTGGGCAGAGTGGTGAGAGGAGCCTGAGGCACTTTAATATTTTGAGGGCAAGGTTGTCTGGGGGTGGGAAGTGAGCTAGGGAGCAGGACGACCTGGGAAGAGTTGAGAGCCTGGGCTGCAGAATAAGGAAGTGAAAGACCAGAGACTCAGGGCTCAGGAAGGGGAGGGAGAGAGCGTGACAGGGAGCAGAGGGGGCTTGGGTGAGGAGCCGAAGGAACCTTAGAGATTCCAGAGGGAGTGAGGGAAGGTGCTAGGTCCTCCTGGGACAGCGTGGCGAGATGGGTAGGAAGGTCAGAACTTGAGGAAATGCCAGCATGGGGCTAGGGTAGGGCAAAGGGAGACAAGAAGAGAGCAAGTGAGAGGAAATGGACCGCACAGGAGAGGGGCTGGGAGGGCTTGTCCAGGGGTTAGGGCTTCTCAAGGACTTCCTCCCAAGCGCTTCCAGACTCTTCCTGAACAGAAGACAAGGGAGGTCAAGCCATGCATGGGTCAGGGGTGCTATCTTCCCCTTGGAGTTGAAGCTCTGAGGTATCTGGGGAAGAGGGCAGTGAATGGGGCAGGCGAGAAAGCAAGTAAATGTATTCTCAATCAGCTAGTGGGCTTTGGGGGTGCTGTCCCAGGTGCTGAAGAGGTGTGTGCATGAGGGGAAGGGGTGATGCCAAGAGTGTCATCTCCCCTTGTTCAATGGACAGCAGGGGGAATGGGTGGGGTGGGGTCCAGACTGACACGGGGCGGCCCCCTGAGGTAGCTATTGGCACCTGTGATGGTTGCTGCTGTGGTGCATGTGTGTGATGGGCCGAGAGAGGGGCATTTAGGGAAGGGGGGCTAAAACCACACACACACACACACACACACACACACACACACACAGCCTTCCAGTAGATCCCATGTCCTCCTTTGGTTCCCTTCAAAACCAGTCAGAGGAATAAGTCTCCAACTACCCCAGACCCAAAGGTGTGACCCAAGGTGGGAGGTCAGCCCTGCCTGGCCAGAGGAGGCTGGCACTGTCTGGGAACAGGTCCTGCAGGTGTGCAGGTTGAGAGCAGGCCAGAGCCACCCTCATCCTCAGGCCATCTCTCTGGGCTGGGATGCTCATCAACCAGCAGACGAGGGCTCACTCCAATAAAGCAAAACATCAAAACACAGAAAGAAGGTCCCTCAATTTATTGAAAAAACAGGGGACAAGAGGCCAGAGAGTTAGGGGAGTGGGTCCAGTGGTGCTCCCTCCAGGAAAGGAGAGCCCTTCTTCCTGGGTGGGGCCAAAGGCCAAAACAGCAGAAGGGAGGGGTCCCTTCCCAGGCACAGCAACCCCTTCCAGTCGGACAAGACGAGAAGAGGAGTGGCTGATGGACACAAGCCGCGTGGTGTATTCTCAGAACACGGGGGGATAGCTACCGAGGCGCCGCTGTTCTCAGCTGGTGGTGGGACAGTGACACGTCTGGCAGGCAGAGGGGGCCTCTCTGGCTCTCCCTGGGGGCTGCCTAACACCTCCCCAGGCTGCAGGAACCCCCTCCACAGGTGGTGTTGAGCTGGCCGCAGGGCGCGCACAGGCCGGTGCTCACCGCCACGTTCCCGGTGCAGGGGGCGCTGCAGACGCTGCCCGTCACCGGCCGGGAGCCGGACACGCAGAGGTCCCCGCAGACAATCCCGCCCCGGGAGCTGCTTACACCTGTGGGAACAAGGGTACAGTCGGGAGGACTGGTCGGAGGCCACCCCATCCCACCACCTTCCTTTGGCCTCTGTGATCTGTCCAACACTCCAGGGAAGGACACAAAATGCTTTAAGTTCTACTTCTGAAGGTGTGCAAGTAATCTTAGCCTGGGACCCGGGGGCCCTGGGTTCTGGCCCTGATTCTGCCTTGTGACCTTGGGCAAGTCCCTTCCTTTCTCTGGGCCTCAGATAAGGTGTCTGTGACATCTGAGGTTCCTTCCTGCAGTGACATATTATTCTTTCCCCTTCTCAACCCCATGCATGAGTTTGTGAGGTTCTTTCTTTAAGCTGACCTCAGTCTCTCCTGCTGCAAGACCAATCCATTACAACGTACTGGGGGAATTATTGGAACCACTCCTCCAGTATCCTCATAGCAGGAAAATTCTTGTTGCCCAGTTTAGGATTTTCCTTTTTAGGGCCCAAGATACTTACAGACATTCACAGCTCCAATGCCTTCACACAGCCTGAGTGGGGAAAAGGTGAGAAAGGGAAAGAGAAAATAGGTCAGAATGAGATCTTCAAGTTTCCCCTAGGTGCCGGGATGGGTCATCTCAGGCTATGTCTGGGCTATATTTATGCCCTTGTGTAACTTTTAAAAAATAAGTTTTGGCAGTTGCAGCAATGCCAGGGCACACTATTCGGCAAGCAGAGTATAGATTGGATTTCAGCTCTCACTCGCCCCTCATCTGGCTGCCTTTGTGCAGTGCACAGCCAGAACAACCATACCTGGCATACCTGGATGGGTTCAGCTTTAGGAAGGGGTAAGTTCTCTGGGACAGTTACCTGAGGCCAGGATCAGAGTTTGGCCAGCATCTCTACCCTAGGGCAGTTTTACCACCTGGAAACCCGGTAGGGAGTGGATCCTGCAAGAGCTGAGGATGGAATAATTTGAGAATGTTCTGAACTGAGAGGCAGGGTGCCTGGGTTCTAATCCTTGGAAGGCCCTGGACAATCTGGGACTCTAGAAATCAGAGTGGCACTGGCCTTCAGTTTACCTCTGTATGCTATGACCAAGTTTAAGTCCTTTGAGATGTAGATTCCAAAGACCCCAGAGTCTAGCTGGGGGCCAGTTTCTTGGGATATAGAAGAATCAAAGGTGGGCAAATCCATACAAGTAGAATTCTTGGGATAGTTGAATTGGGTCCTACCTCTGCTCCTCGCCCTCCAGCAGGCGCCTGTAGGTGGCGATCTCGATGTCCAGGCCCAGCTTGGAATTCATCACCTCCTGGTACTCCCTGACCAGGCAGGCCATGTCCTGCTTGGCCTTCTGCAGGGCGCCTTCCAGCTCAGCCAGCTTGCAGCGGGCATCATTAATGGCAGCCTCGCCCTGCTGCTCAGACTGGGTCACTGCCGCCTCCAGCTTGGAGTTCTAGGGGGCCCAGAAGAAAACAAGGTGGGTTATGGTCCCTGGGTCTCTGTGCTCATTTCCTATATGTATCCAGTCTCTCCCAGCCAGCTGGGATCACCCCAGGAACAGGGTCTCTCCCCTTCATCACCTGGGTCTCCCTGAGTAACCACAACCAAGGACTCTGGTCATGCAAATAGGTTGGAAAATGAATGGTGAGATCCATGTGGGTGCACACTGCCCATGGGACCCTGGACTGGCCCCCAGCCCCCCTGGTCTTGGGGAGAGATGACCCCTACCTGGCACTTGGCGTTCTCCACCTCGGCTGTCAGCCTCTGGATCATGCGGTTCAGCTCATTGATCTCCTCCTTGGTGCGGCGCAGGGTCTCCCCTTGCCGGATCACTGTGGCCTTGATCTCCTCACACTGAAGAGAAGCAAAGAGGCTCAGGAAGCTCAGAATGGGATGTCCTGCCCATTCAGGACACCTCAGATGATGTGCTGGTTGTGCAGTACTCAGCCTGTGCAACCGTACATGGCAGCCCTGTCCTGCCACTAGAACTTGAGAGCTGTCTGCCTTTTGTTATCACTTCTAGGAATCAGAATCTCTAGACAAAATAAGACTTTTCTATTATACACCTTGAATCCTTCCCATTGCCTGTCTAGGATACAGATGTCCTGGGCCACTCACCCTGCTGCGGTACCAGGACTCAGCCTCAGCCCGGCTGCGTCTGGCGATGTCATCGTACTGCTCCTTGATCTCAGCGACGATGCAGTCCAAGTTCAGGTCTCGGCTGTTGTCTATCTTGACAATGACTGAGGTGTCTGAGATGTTGGCTTGGAGAACTTGGATCTCCTGTGGAAGCGGGAGTTGGGGAAGAGGAAGAATGAGCAAGTTATCTGGGCTCTTCCTCACCTGCTGATGTCTGTAATCTCTTTGATCCCTCTGGAGCCAAAGGCTCCTGTTTGGAGCAGAAAATCCCCTGATGAAATTGTACAACTTTCTACACAGGTAAGAAACCCCTTTGAGAAGAGAATACAACTACTTCTTCAATGCTTGCTTTGGGGGTTTCTCAGGCCCCTGTGAACTTTGACAGTGTCCCTGTGGCCAGCGTGCTGTGGATGCTTCCTGGGGTCCAGATCTCCTGGACCAATCACAGAAAGGAAGGTTATTGGCTGCCAGAGAAAACCTGGGCCAGAGAACACAGGGTTGAGGCTGTGTGCCTGTGCTTTGGTTTCCAAGTCACAGGCAGCCTAGAGATGGCCCTCTCCTGCCCCATACTAATTCTGTCCCTTGTTGGTTCTCCGTCTGTCTGCCTCCCTATTTCCCTCTCCTTCCTCCCTCCAGCCCTCAGGTCAGAGATGCCCAGGGTGGCTGAGAGCCCCCTCACCTCATCATATAGTTGCCTCAGGAAATCAATCTCCTGGGTCAGGGCCTCTGCGTTGGCCTCCAG